ATGGTAATAGTAGTTATCAGGGACTATGTGCCAGGCACTGTGCTTTTTGACTCCTATTATTAAATCTTTAGAATAACCTTATGAAACAAGAACTATTATTGTGTATCCTCCAATGTAAGGGAAAGTGCTTTCCTTAAAATTAACCCTCAGAAAAGAGGGCCTCCCCTTATGTTTGAGTCCTTACAAAGACTGTCCCATTGTGGGGTTACTCTATTTTAAACCACAAAGTAGTTTAAGCAATCGTCCCAGTATTATGAAAATGCCTGTGGCTTGGGACTGCTTGATATTCAGGCCTTTGTGGTACTCTTTCCATTTTACGTAGATGAGAAAACTGAGACTTACCCAAGGTCATACAGCTAGTAAGTGGTACAGTCAGAATTCAAACCCAGGCATAAAATCTTACTCCCATCTCCTCATTTTTAATCCACCTCAGATTCTTTCTTTTACCTAAAAAAAGTTTCAGTCTAGGAAGTTTCATCTAGGATGTTTTCTTTCCTTCTTGTTGAGGTTTCATTCTAAGAGCAGAGAAGATCAGAAGATGGGTATGCATCCAGTCTGGAGTCATGCTTTTATGGATAGCACTAGGAAGGTCTAGTTCACCTTCTAAGCCAAGGTGGCATGGGATTCTCTCTGCTTCATCCTTGCCAGATCACCCTGCTTCCCTTTGCTTTGATGGGAAGTTCATTGCTTCCTGAGTCAGTCTCTTACCTTGGCTCTGGTTGTAGGAGTTCTTCCTCATACTGAGCTGAAATCATTTGTCTTGGAATTTTCAGTCTGACAGAAAAGAGATCAAAATGTACGTGGCTTTGTCTGTTACTGTCTTCCCTTCCTCCCCTCCCCTTCTTCTTCCCTTTCCAATAAATGTTTTATTTTAGAATAGCTTTAGATTTATAGAAAACTTGCCAAGATAATACAGAGAATTTCTGTATACCCCTCACCCTACTGTTAAAATCTTACACTATTGTGTATCCTCAGTCATTTGTCAAAACTGAGAAACCAACATTACTATTACTATTACTTATTACTATTACTATTACTATTACTATTACTATTAATTATAAACTCCAGACTTCAGTCTGATTTCACTAGTTTTTCTCTAATGTCTTTTGTCTGTTCCAGGATCCCATCCAGGATATCACATTACATTTAGTCATTATGTTTCCTTAGTCTCATCTGGTGTGTGATAGTTTTTCACTTTTTCCTTATTTTTCATGACCTTGACGGTTTTGAGGGAGTACTGGTCAGGCATTTTGTAGAATGTCCCTCAATTAGGATTTATCTGATGTTTTTGTCATGGGGTTATGGGCTTGGCAGAAGAATACTGCAAAAGTCAAGTGCCATTCTCATCACATCATATTTGGGACACGTGATATCAATGTGACTTATCACTGGTGATGTTAGCCTTGATCCTCTGACTAAGGTAAAGTCACTCCTCCCTCGCCTTTCCATACACAGTTTTTTAAAAGCAAGTCACCATGTTCAGCTCACACTTAAGAGGTGGGGTGATTAAGTTCTGTCTCCAGGAGGAGAAGTATCTTATGTAGGTAAGTTATTTGGAATTCTTCTGTTAAGGAATATTTCTCTTCTCCTACATTAATTAATGCAACCACTTATTCATACCAGTGTGAAGTGATGCGTATTTATTTTATACTTTGGGTTATAATCCATTACTACTACTACTTTAATTATTCTCTTGTGCAAATCATTCCAGCTTTGACCACTGGGAGATCTCCCAGTTGTCTCTTCTGTCGTTTTGACATGCCCCCATTTGTTTGTTTTCTAAGGACTTCCTTACTTTCTGGCACTACAGGATATTCCAGGTTCTTCTTGTATTTTCCCCGCCCCATCCCTAGAATCAGCCATTTCTCCAAGGATCTCTGGTTCCTATTATTGGAGAATGATATTAGAAACTAAGATCTGACCACCGGAGTGCTCATTGCTACTGGGATGTAACTACTTCTAGATCTTCTCAGTGGACAGAGTTAGGAACTACGTGAACGTATATCAGCCCATGTTACACACGTATCTACGATATTTCTGCATCTACATTTCTTTCTGTAGGAAGGCTTTTCTTTTTTATTGTTAAAGGTTGCTGTGTAGCGAACAGCGAGATTCACTGCCTTCTACCACCAATGGTAATTTTTTAAGGTAGGGGGAGAAGAAAGTAAAAATGGAGATCTTAGCATAACTATGACTTAAGAACTCAGTCACCCTCTAGTCCGATCATGTAATTTTAGAGATGAAGACATCCTAAGAAGTTTACTGAGATCCAAAGAGGTGAAAATACTAGCTAGTGGAACAGTCAAGATTGAAATCTGGCTTTTTGAAACGAAATCTCTTTATTTCCACAATATCTGATGCCCCTTTAAGACTAATCAGTATTCTTGGCTTTGTATTCAGCTCAGTTATTAACTTCCTCGGATGCATTAAGCAGATTAAATTGTAATTTTAGAAATTGGTGTGCAGAGGTACGAGCTAGCCAATGGAAGTCCGCTGCAGTGTCACTGAGGAGGGATTTTGCTCTCCAGTGACAGATCAACAACTTGAAAATGATGCTCTGGTGGCCAGATGTTAGTGAGAGAATCTTCTTAAATGACTATGATGATTACCCTGCCCTGTTTTACTTTTTATAACTATCGCAAAAATATATATATATTTTTGCTCTGGGGAGAGAATCACAGGGTTCCTATAGGACAGATACTTGATGTATACACCTGCTTTTTAGAAATGGGATATAAAGCAATGAAAGAATCTGTTTAATGTCATCCAAGGAGTTGGTGATAGGGTAAAAAATAAAAAGCGAAAGCTGCAGCCCCCATGGCCCTTCCCTTCTTTTAACAGGCCAGCCACACAGCTCCTTTCTTTTAAATTGCTTTCAGGCAGGTTTTAAAGAACAAACACTTGAAAGTTCCTCCCAAGAGACTCCTGAGGCTATAGGACAGTCCTAGGATGCCTTCAAACCTTTCAGCCATTTCCTTTGAGAAGTGGGTATGTTTATACTTGATAAACCATGTCTTGTCACCACGTAACAGTTAAAATCTCCATTCTATTCTTTTCCATTTGTACTTTAGTCATTCCATTTTATTTTTGTTTGGTACATTGTGAACATCCAGGATTTTTAGTGGAAATAAATGGTAACAGCTGTTTCTCATGTACCAAAAAATGTAATTATGAACCTTAACCTTGAGATGATATGTCCAGATTTTCCCAGGTGTGGAAATGACTTGAAAAGCTCATTTTGGGTAGTCGTCCCAATACAGAACCACATTCAGCTGCTTGCAATCAACTTCTTTCAGAGAGAGAGAGTTTCTATAGGTCTTTCTTTATTCCGATACTCCCTTCTTAACACGGCTTTTCCTCTTTAAAATAGTTCAGGGACTTCCCTGGTGACGCAATAGTTAAGAATCTGCCTGCCAATGCAGGGGACATGGGTTCGATCCCTGGTCCGGGAAGATCCCACATGCCGCAGAGCAACGAAGCCCGTGCACCACGACTACTGAGCCTGTGTTCTAGAGCCCGCGAGCCACAACTACTGAGCCCGCGGCCACACTACTGAAGCCTGTGTGCCACAACTACTGAGCCCATGTGCTGCAACTACTGAAGCCCATGCACCTAGAGCCTATGCTCCGCAACAAGAGACGCCACCGCAATGAGAAGCCCGTACACCGCAGGGAAGAGTAGCGCCCACTCACCACAACTAGAGAAAGCCCGTGCGCAGCAACGAAGACCCAACGCAGCCAAAAATAAATAGATAAATAAATAAATAAATAAAAGACTATGGTCTAAAAAAATTAAAAAATAAAATAGTGCACATTTACCGACATAAACACACCCTTAAGTCCCATCTTTCATTC